ATTACTGTAATAAATTAAAATTAAATAATATCAAGAATCTTATGATCGCTGAAATATTAATATTTATACATATTCGATATCTTTCAACGTGAATGAATTTTTCTTTTCTATATAAATCCTCTTTGAGAAATTTGTGTTTAATATATCGATTATTTTTTATTTATGATTAGTCAAACGATTATTATTTCGATTGCTTGTATAATATTAATTCTGTTAGAATAAAATTGAATGTCTTGATAGTTACGATGCGTTGGATCTTCTTGAAACTTGTGGTAGTCGGGAAAGCTAGTAATACTTCGTAACTTCCGCACATCCGTAACTTTCGAAGAGTCCTCCTCGATCGTTGATGTAATATTTATCCAGACGGATCGCGAGTACTTAGAATGGCTTTTATTAACAATACGCGTGGCACTATTGAAATATTCTTTGGCAATAACGACAGATATATATATATATATATATATATATATATGACAGACATTGAACAGGGGAATATTCTTTTGCTTTTTCCAGGCAAATGTTATTACAAAACGTCGCGTATGCGTAATATGCGAAAAGAAATACGTGTACGTACCATTCTTGGTTTATTACTGTTTTCTACAGGTTTTTCTTTTCTCTATCTCTCTCTCTCTCTCTCATTACGCACCGTCATCGTGGGAAACTCGTCTCTCATGCGACTTAAATTAGAAAAATGATCGACTTTAAAAAGGATCGTTACGTTAACCCGACTTATTTGAAAGAATTACAAGAAATAAAAAAAGAAACAAAAAGTTAGCATTAAAACGTAATAGACGAACAAATGTGCAACCTATCAATTTTAATACGATTCACTTTCGAAAATATCATCATTTGCTCATTATCTTTCACCTGTCGTTCAAGGCTTTTTTCTCTTTCTTTTTTTTTTCTTTCTGCTAATAAAAATGAAAATAGGGACGCAATCGTGAAAGAAAGAGAGAGAGAGTAAGTTTCTCATTATTCATAGCTCACCTATGGTGCCGTATTTACGAGAGATAATTATTCACATTCCATGATTTAACGGGACGTTAATACTTAAAAGTTATCCGCGTTGGTTCAATGTTTTTTTTTTTTTGGATATAGAAAACAAATTACTATGGGTATTTATAACACTCTGTAAATTGTGTACGTTAAATGGATCAGAAGATGGTTTTTTTTCTGCATAAATATTTCGCATTATCGTGGATTATAAAGGATTAGTAAAAATAAATCTGATCTATCCTTGGACTATTTTAGCAAGGATTCTTAAAATATAAATGAAATAATGAAATATTATGAATAATGTGTCACGAGTAAGATGCCCCGAGCGACAACGATTCCTTTGAATAACAGAAATTTCGCGCCAGACTTCGGAATATTTTAATATTAGAGAATTCATATTAATTTTAATAATAATCATAGTCATATCTATATATATATATATATATTGTACCTTCGTGCAAATATCACGAGGGTTACGCCAAGAAATATAACACATATTGCGAATAGTCACGAACGTTATAAGCCATTGGCTTTTCTTTTTAGAAAATCACGCTAACAACGATGACGATACACCGAATGGAAAAAATCTCTTATGATTTATTCCGATATTCGCGTAAGAAAACTGTTCGTTTACGTTAAATTCCTTTTTTGTTTTTGTTCCCTTATTCTCCCATTATTTTTTCTAATTTAATTTGTTTTAGCAATCTTTGTTATTTGGGAAGGTCGGTTCGTTTCACCGAGCGTGAAATATATTCTTTCTATCACGATGACGTTTCTTTATACGTTTTATGGTTGCCCATTGGATATGTGTGTGTGTGCAACGTCGAATAATCGATGATAATATTAAATTAACGATATTTGCGATATCATATTGTAGATTATTTTTATTCGTTAACAAATGCGTTTAGAATTTTTTTCCACGTTCTTGTCGTGCCATTGTGTCAATCGAAACAAATGTATTATTTTTCCCTTCATTATTTTTCATTTGACTATACTATCCACGAAGGATTATGCAGATTTCCTTGATTATCCGATGTTAATTCGAAACTTAATAGTAAGTTAACTCGAGAATATTGAATTCAATTTAAACGCGTAAACATTCACGAGTGTTCTGCCTTGAGGTATCGTGTTTACTAATATTACCCAACGTCGATGAATTTACCTACTTGCAATCTTGTCATTTACCACGCTGGACTGATTAAATTATTCAATTATGTTAAGATATTTATGAAAGGTATCGTTTAAATATTCTAATCTAGCTATGATATTATAAATATTTGAGAATTCATTCAAATGCAATTATTTAAATACTTATTAACAAAAAATAATTATAAATCTTTCAATTGGTAGATTCGTGATCATAATTCATAATCGATATCACAATTTACGATTAATAATAATTCATTTAAACATTCAAGTATTTTATTACTGTTGTGCAAGAGAAAAATCTGCAGGTAATGATTATACTGAAATAATTATTTTTTTCTAAAAGTGTTCGCATTTTTTTGTCTCTTCTGCTCGGCTAAGCGACGTTAAAATTGTGGTGTCATTTACATTTGTTCTCCTTTTTTCTTTTCTTGCTTTTTTTATTAATACTGAGCTGCGTAATTAGAAGGCGCTGAAGAGGAGGAGGAATAACGAAAGCTGACAGAGAAGATCAATGTTTGAGCCACGTTTGAAATGATGGCTGCTGTTGAGAAATGAATGAATGGCGCCTTTAAAGAGATGAAACGAAACGAAACGAAATGAAACGAAACGAAACGAAACGTAACCACGATTTCTATTTTAATTGATGGAAAAGACAAAAATATAACAGACGCGTATTATTTTTTAAGACATATTCAATTATTTTGCGAATAATTATATTACGAAAAATGTCCAATATGTTATTAATTTTTTTTATCCAAAATTAAAATTATATTCTATTACATATTTTTATTGGATTTCCTTTCTTGTGTTTATTAACAGGAATAACAAGTTATTCAGTATTTAATTTATAGAAAAATACGTTAAAATATTAACCGTCCCTTTCTCTTTGCTTATCATATAAGTGAAACTTATGAAATAAATTAGAAATTGTACATTTGATTAAATCAAAATGTATCGATTTACATTTCCTGCAAGGTGAATTGATACGCGTGTGTAAAATATTTCGATACGAATATATTTTAATTAATCAAAATATATGATTTCAATCGTGTTAGTAAAAATATACTTTAGTTCTATACATATATTTGCATAAATAATATATTTTTATTTCAATTTAATCTACGGAACGTGGAATAACAAAATTTATCTGTATTAACTTGGTTCGAATTTTTCCTTTAATATTATTGGATAAATTTCTCACGTATTTTTACATTCATTTAAATAATATCAAAACATTTGTCCAAAGACATTCATTCGTTTCATTATCTTTGATTTTTTCGACACGTTTATATGAACCTTTTTTCTTTCATTTATTTAATCTGAGTAATACCTAATATAAATTTGGTCTCAACTCTTTTTCAAATATCCTGTAGATTATAAATGATAAAAAATATTGAATATTTTGTAATAGATCGATCTGTCAACTCACCTTTCGAACAATCCGTTCCATAGTAACCTGGATCGCATTGACATTTGTTAGGTGAAACGCAAACACCCGCTAGGCATTTATCGCAAAAAGGTAAACAGTTAGTATCGCCATCGTTCTCTTTGAGTATTTCCATTGGTTTGTAACCCTCGCAGCATTCCTTCACCTTCCTGGTCTTGACTTCCGACTGGAAAAGAATTTCATTCATTCATTCAAACGCTTGTCTTAACATTTCTATCCTTTAAATCGATTCCTATCTTAATGTTATACTATACTAATCGGTATTTCGAATATTTCAATGATTTATTACTTTAAATCTAGAGTATATACTTTATACTCTTTGAGATAAATAATTTGTAATATTTTTTTCATACGAATAAAAGTAAAAGTAAAATAGAGAGAGAGAGAAGGAGAAAAACAATGAGAAAAAAATTGAGAGAGGAAAAAAGGAAGAGAAAGAGAGAGAGAGAGAGAGAGAGTTTATTCACGTAACGGTTTCATTCGTAATCCATCTTAAGTGGATACCAGTGGAGAAGGTTATAAAGTAGATGTTCATAAATTATACGTCAAAGATGGCTACTAGGTTAATTTTATTCCATGTTCGTCGTCTTTATTCGGTTGATAGTTATTTCATTTTGCTGTTGTTAACTACGCCCTCGCATATTATGTAATCCATTAAGATAACATTTAATTATTCGAATGAGAAAAAATATATTTGACTTTCGTTGCATAATCATTGAAGAATTTAATACTACTACTACTACTGCTACTATCTTCGTTTTTTTTTTTTTTTACACAATTTTATAGACTTTTGATTTCACGTTTTTGGTATAATCAACATGTTGTTAAAATAGAGAGAAAAAAAAAGGGAAAACTAGTCGCATGTTTTTTTTTATGATTTTAAGATCAAAAGTAACGGATGGCAGATTGTGTGTTCTAATTTTTGAAAAATCTCTTTATACGAAATAGGTATTTTTTTGTGTGTAATATTTCCGATGAGAATGATCAGAATCATTTATCGATGATTAATTAATCGTGTCTATTAAATTGCAACCTATGTTTATTTTCTTATTGATTTTAAAGTGAAAGTGGAATAGTGATTCTGTTTTATTACGGAATACATATATACATACATACATATTTTCAATTTAACGAATCATATTATCAGATTTATTCTTGCTTGAGAATTTTTCTCAAATAATGTTTTCAAATGTTAAACATTTTATTTTGAAAATAATAGAATTTATAAATTTATAATTGTATTATACGATTCTCGTTATCGAATTAACAATATAAAGCTAGATTGGTTTGTAATTATAATTCGAGTATTATCGATACGAATGATTAAATCTTATCGATAATTGATCCAGGATGTATATAAATTATATAACAAGAATATATTCCAGTTCTTCGTAAAATATTTAATTGATACGGTAAAAGAGAGAAGAACGGTCAAACGACGATGATTGTATCGCCGAGAATAAACTTAATTAATGGAAAAGGTGATGCGAATGGTCGAATTTAAAAATCTTCTAAGAAAAAAAAAAAAAAAAAAAAACATAATCCTTCGAA